TTGACACAGTAGCAAGAAAAGAAAAGTTAATACATGTTCCTCAAAAACTAAAGGTGGAAAGCTGCCGGCTAATCACATCAGGATCTCTAAGCTCATGTCTGTGCTAAATAATCAGCTGACTATCACATAAATAATCTGTTGTCACACTTCTCGCAAGGCAGTTACCTCTTCTAGAAAAGACACCTTTTAAAACTTCTTTGCCTTGCACAAATGAAGTGTAACTGCTTATTGATCTAATTGATACCAGTCTTGAAGAGACAATTGTTTAAATATTGTGGAATAAGACATTAAGTGGTAACTCAACAGTAACTGCTAAGAATGGTATTCACGCTGCTTTATTTTTAGGCACCTCAAGGATAGGGCTAATATTCCTAAGCTCTGTGGACAGTGGAAGAGAGAAAAACTCCTCAAGGAGGAGGGAAATTATATCATCTATTAGCTAGAACAGCAGAACAGCTTTTGGGCAGAGTTGCTTTAATGGGTCTTCAGTTTATCTGCTTTTTTTTTTTATGTCAACAGATCTCGTAAAAACTAAAACTCCCACCTACTGCCATTACTAATTAAAAAATAAAGAAAAAATTAAACAGAATTTATGTTGTAAGGAATTAGAGTTAGTTGCATAAGCATAAAGGCACTGTTTTTAAAATCTTCCACCAAAGCTCACAAAAAAGCATTTGAATGCGCTATTGAGAAATTCAGAGAAGTATACCTCTGAACATTCAGTCAAAATAAATAAGCACATGTTGCAAACCTTAAATGACCTAACTCTATAAAAACACTGAGAAAATAGTTCAGAGGGAAAGAACACTCTATTCTAAATATGTTTCACTGAAAGATTTTGTTTTTTTCCACAACAATGCTTTATTAAAAAGTAATCTTACCAGTGGGCATTCCAATAATAAAGCATCTTCTATTTTTTCTGACTTAGAACACTTTGGCTTTTGATAAAGTATTCTTGGCTCTTGTGCAATGCTGGAGGAAAATGATTGCTAATCATTAGTCTACTTTATGAACTACTTTCTATCAACAAGTCATTTCATACAGTTTTATAAATCCTGCCTTCTCTTTAGGCAGGTCAGAAATCTAAACATCTCATTTTTACTTTGTAAATATAACCTGAAATTGCTCTCAAAATAAGGCCTAATAAACAATAGTTAGTATAACGTAATATTTAAAAGCTAACCTTCTCTGTATTTTGTGGTTTGGTGTTTTTGTTTTGTTTTTAAATAACAAACTTAATAGTAACATTCTTACTTTACTGATATATATTGAAAAGAAGGCATATTCCAGAAACTAACGATCATCCTGGAACCTTCCCCTCAAGCTCTTCCAGTGTTGCCTTTCATAATATAAAGGCGTGGCATCATGTACAGATATTTAACCCCACCCCCCACCCCCCCCAGTAGAATAAAAACTTCACAGTGTGCAGAGTTTTCCCCTCAGGGCTAGGATGAGACAAAAGATAAACCTGAAAGATGCTAGATGGGTTAACCCAGAACTGGAAAGCATTCAGACAATGTAGGAATAAACCACGGCTAAGTAGATTCAGATCTCTGCTGTAAGTGATAGATTAATTTAATTAACTCTCAGTGGTTTACAGTGACAGAGTAATTTGTCTTATGTATCATATGACACTGTCTCAAAACTGTTCTCACCACAACTTACTCAGCAATGCAGTTCTCCAAGTCCCTGCTACCTCCCTCACAAGAGGGATGGGCAAGAACAAGGACTGGTGTACGCAGCATTTCCCGTCCTCTACCCTGCCCTGTGCTGCCTCCTAATCTGTGCCTCTGCAGCTGATCACAGAACAGGAGAGTACATCAGATCAGAGAACTGATCTGCAAAATACATTAACAAAAACCAGCAAGTACTCCACACACTGCACTTTTACGTGAACAATGATTTAATTCTTTAATGCAGAATTTATACCAAGCTTGTTACATAGGCTGATTTTGTGACACATTCTTTAGCACACTGCTAGTTACCAGATCACAAAGAACTACCGTTCATTTGGCTTTTTAGTGCAAAATTATAAAATGCTGATAATCTTCCACTCCTGTTAAAGTGCTCTGAAAGCTGAAGTTATACAGCACCAGTAAGATCAGACTTTCCTTCGCCAAAGCAGGTGGCACGTTAAGACACAATGGCATCTGACTGTAATTTAACAAAGATTTATGCACCCGGTTATTTTTTGTTCATAAGTAAATTCCACTCAATTCACAGGGGCTATTTGGATGAGTAAAGTTAGCAACATATCTAAAACAGAATCACAGCGTTAAAACTGTAAGCCAGGGTAACTTTTAATTGTAAATTTATTACCTGCTAATACAGCACTGGTAATTGTCTAAGTAAATTCTTCCTCTTTCATATGCAATAGGAGATGCAGAATGAGTTGTCCAAACGTTCTTGAATTTAGTACTTTCCTGAAACAGACAGTGATTGTAACAGTGATGGCTTTTGTAACAGACCTTGCTTTTGGCAAATATTTTATTTGGCTCTTGCAGCTTAATAATTTACTTTAATTCAACCTTTGCTGTTGAATACATAAGGAAAAATCTTACTTGTTTTTTTTGTTTTAAACCAAATTAAAAGACCTTTTTCAGGGAAATTTTGTCTTTTTTTTTTAAACCACATTAAAAGATCTTTTTATTAGCTATTATGGACAGCGTGGGTAATGAATATTTTGTCATTAACTTGCCTGCATTAAAATTAAAACTGGCAACTAAACTTTAATGGCAACTTTTAAAATCAAGGACAAAACTCCCCAGAGTGGAGTTATGCACATAATCTTTTATATGTAATTAATTGAATTTACTGAACATCTGACTCCATTCTGCTGTTGGTGTTTTGTGTGAAAGGTAGAAAAACGTGTTTACGGTTATTTGCAAAAAGTGCCTGAAATGTTAATGGGATAAACTGCTCACACAGAGTTTCTTGCATGCATTAGAGACATCAGGAGCTCTAGACCGTTAACAAAGGTTCCAGTCTTACAAAAAAAAAAAAGTATTTGCGTAAGTCAGATGTACTCATTTTTATTTCAATAAACCTTGCATGCCCATTGATCTAGTTGTGTAAGTGGACACTTTAGCTGACTTCCAATAAATATATTTTTAAAATAAGACAATTGCCAATTCACTTCCACATATTCACTTTCAATGCATTTCAATCAACGACTGCGTGGGAGCAGTTTTGATAAAAAAAAAAACAAGTTCACTTTAGTCTATAATTGGTTTAATTCCTATTTTTTCTGTAACATAAATTTCACTGACACATTAGGGGTACGTTTACCTGAAGACCTCTGCTGATTATCTTATTTTGTTGTGAGAACTTCATTCGAATTTAACATTGATGCTCGCTAAAACACTATGAATATTGGTATTAAATATTAAGCCATCTTAGGGGAAGAAATAAGTGATATAAAATCGCATAAAAGGCTATTTCTAACAGGATTATTAGATTTACAAGTGCTTCTGCAGTTTTTCCACAGCATAGTCCCCTCTACATTTCTAGGTCTGAGCCTCATGAAATAAATTTAACCATTTGTAACTCTCTCCAGCAAAACTGCAGCTTTTTTCTCCGCAAACTTGTTAGTCAGCGTGACCAGGGACTTCCCAAACACCCGGGTTGAGGACTGACGCTCAGACCACCCCGGCTGAAAGCCAGTACAGGCAGCCAGCGCCGGAAAGCATCGCTATTACCTGACATAGTATCTTTCTGAGGAGTCCCAGGTTTTTTCTGTGGGCGACACCAGCATCTCTGGCATAAAAGCCGTGGGCCCTGCGGGTGAGGAGGCGGCAGACGTTGTGAGCCCCAGGCGCCCGGGAGGGGGCCCTCCT